ATGCTGCAAATTCTCAATTGTGCCCCTCCCCCCTTCAGTGCAAACCTGATTCCACTTGGGCACCAAGATGATGCCCCTGTGAGGTGCCCTCTCCACTTGGCACCGCTTGTGCAAGAGAAGCACACACGCAACCATAGCCTCACAAGTTGAAAGCCCACCCATGATTTTTCTCTCCTTTAGCTTTGTACATGGAGAAGAACACCTGTCTTTGTTTCCTGAGCTCCGAGGGATCGTCCTCCACTGCAGGGAAGGAGTTCGGTGATCTCCCGATCTTCCCTTTCTTCCTCCACCCTTGATCCGATTGGGAAACGCCAAACCCACAAACGCGTTATTTCTACCCCGCAACGCCAAACGTGGAGGTTGAATAAACAGTTCAACCCTGGGAAACCCACCCATTTGATCGCAGCAGATATTCCCAGAAAACCGAAGTCCCAAAGGGTGCTTCTTACCCATTTTTCCCTTTCCCAGCAGAAGTGACGATTGTGCTGGACAGATCAAAAAGCAGGGTGAGACGAGAGCAAAATTAAAGTGGAGCAGCGGGCAAGAGCGGAGTCGTTGGCTTATTTTTTATTGTTGTTGCCCTTTTTTTAAGAGCTCTCCCCAACGGAGCTGTCCGCGGTCCGTGGTGGTGAAATGTTGCTGGCTGAGGGGTGGAGCTAGGAAGGAAAAGGTGGGGTTAGAGAGAAGGCTAAAGAAAGGCAGGGGCGGAGGGGTGTGTGTCTGTGTGTCTGTTGTGTGGAGATGCGGGGAAAGGTTCTCTGAACTGCAAGTTCAACATAAAGCCACGTCCACTCTGAAGGGGGCATGGAAGTCACGTAAAACCTTGTACACAGAGGCCTGACATAACATAACGCCTGGACATCCTTCTCTTTGTCCATCGTAAAGAAAGCTGGACCGTATATACCATCCCGATAGATTCTATATTTCCCTTCCTGCAACGCTACTGAGTGCCAGGACCTGGATAATTCCTAAAGCTAATCCATTGTGTATATGCTCATCTAAAGTTCAAGGGTCTGTGAATTCAGTCCATTCTCACAAGCATTCAGATGTCTATGATTACAAAGCGTGAGACTCCCTTGATAGGGATGCTAAAAGAAATTGAGGGGGTGGGTTATATAAACAGATAGTATCCCCACCCTACTGGGGATCCCGATCTAGATCTCGGTGGCAAAAGGACCAACAGGGACAGCCTGTCATCTTACTAGAGATGAGAGGCAAATCCATCCAGAACCCAAACTTCCCACTATTTCAATCTCCATTCTGAATCGTTTGGCTTCTCCCTCCAACTGCCAGGCTCCCCAAACTTTCCAGAAGGTTGTGTTGAGAATCTCATTGGAGAATTTTTGGTATCCATCATCTCCCAAAATATATATACTGTAGGAGGGCTCCTTGTGTAGAGAAAGGATGGACATTAAAACCAGTGTAAATTATGTGTATATGATAGTGGTGGGATATCTGTGTGGACCCAGTCCTACTATTATAGCCCTACTATCCAAACAATTGGAATTCAAGGACAGCAATCCAGAGCCCCATGAAATAGAATGAGAAACAGATATACCCAAAGGCTAAAGTTATCAGACTTGCATGCTTGTGTGCGATAAGTGTGTGAGTATCAGAGAGGAAGAATATATGTATAAGAGTTCATATAAGAAACTCTTACTCCATTTCTCACAACTGGCCAAGTTGTCAAGAAGTACTGGGAGTGAGAGTCGAACATTATCTGAGGGTCATAGGACTTCAAACCCTGAAAGCAGAGGTTGGCAGAAAAGGTGGATCTATTCTGACCCTCAATATATTGTTATGATTGATGTAAGGATTCTGCTACAGGTAGTCCTCGTTTAGCAACTGCCTCATTTAGAGACCATTCCCAGTTATGATGGTGATGAAGAAGTAACTTTACAACCAATCCTCGCATTTACGACCTTTGCAGGTCTGTAAAGCAAAGGAAAGCTGAAGTAAGATCATAAGCACAGTCGCAGTTTCACTTAGCGACCGCTTTGCTTAATGCTGGAGTTTCCGTTCCCAATTGTGGTCATGAAATGAGGACTACTTACACAAAAACAATTGAGGGGGTGTTTTGGCCATCAGTTTCACACTTCTGCACTCTATGGGAAACTTGAAAGGATTTGTATTCTTTACTGTCATTTTTGATGTTTTGGAGTCTGTTCAGTTGTGGATTTTGGATTCCTTTCTCTGGCTTCCTTTGCTTTTTGTGTTTTTAAGACTCTGATCTTTGCAACAGATGTATTAATATAAGGTACCAGAAGATGATCAGGTGACTCTTCATGTTGCATGGTGGATTCTCAGCAAGGCAGCTGGAGGGAGAGATTGTGTCACAAGCGTATGAAATACAAAGAGGAGGCAAGTGAATGAATGTAAGGAAATGAACAATTGAAATAAGGTTGTGTTGTAGAATGGTGGGAAGGCTTATCTCAAGTGTGTATGTGTGTGCTGTCATAATAGAATGGGTCATGTGCTAGTAAAGTGGAGAGGTATGTGTCTCACACCTGTACAAAAAAAGGAAGTGTGGATCTTTCTGTGAAAGAGGCAGAACACTAACGAGAAAAGCCTATCTTTGACCTGGGTGGGAATAGTCCCTTATGAGGAAGAATGATGTTTCCTCTCGCTAATGTGCTTGTGCTGGAGAGAGGAAGATGGAACAAAGAGTTTTATAGACAGAATGTGGGAAACCTAAAGACGGGTGTATGCACGTATGTGTGAGAGAGACAGAGACAGAAAGAGGCATTACTGCCCTCCTGTGGAGCAAGCAACTCCTGCAACAAATGTTTATGGCTCACTGCATAATAAAATTAGTTGGGTGGGTTTTTTTGCATTTAGCTTTGTCAACAGAACACACACAGATCCATCCTTCTAGTAAACTACTAACTGCTTTTCCTTTTAAAAACCCAGAAGGAAAATGCATGAGAAACTTGACTCTACCCTCCACGCATTTAAAGTGCAAGAGTGCAAGGGAACTTGGACTCCTCATCCACTCCTTCCCTCATTGGAGTAAGATTTCCCAAAGAGGGGAATTTCAGCTATCACCCTCCCTGGAGGACCGCAGGCCAAAGCAGATGCAGATAGTGCTAAAAAGGCAGGTAAATACTCTTGACAGCAGAGGAGGCAAGATCTAAAACAACTAAACACATTTTAAAGAGGCAGTTTACATATACATGTATGGGATAAGCATCTGTAGCAGAGAAAGGATAACATTTGCTTATCTCCCACCTCCATTCAATAATCTCCACCCGTTGGTCATTTTGGTTAGGGCTGATAAAAATTGAAGTCCAGTATCATCTGACAGTTCTCTGTTCCTCCTTTATAAGGATGAGAACCTGGCATCCTGAAAGATGAATTTCACTGTTCTCCCAAAGAATCCAAAGGTTAGGGCTAGCTTCCAAAGTAGCCGTCTACTTTCTTATTTATTTAGCAAATCTGAGTCCTGGATCCCAGCACCAAACACAAGGATGTTCATCCCTCTTTGATTTCTCCACATTGGGATCTAATTCAATTCTGTTTCCTTCCTGTCCCTCCATTCTTACTTGCAGTTTTCCCTCCTTTCAATTGCCAGTCCTCAGTAGCTTTCTCCCCCCAAAAAGAGCATCTTGGACTTCATCCCACCAAACTGTGTTCAAGAATCCACCCACAGTGTAACCACTAGAATGAGTTTACTTGGGGCACATTTAGGGACCTATAGCCAGGAGGAATTCCAAATTCAGCCTTCCCGGAGAAAGGTCTTCTCCTCCTCCTCCTTTTTCCTTCCAGCAGGCATTCTCTTTAGAGGATGTACACCCAAATTTCTCCAACATATAAGAAAAAGATGCCAAGAGGGAAAGACCCGGGGGAGCAGCTTGAGTATGTGTTGGTGTGGTTCCTCAAGAGCACCTCTCACCCAGGGTTCCCTACCATTCTGTGAGTGCCATTGTATTCAAAGCCATTAGTAGGCTTGACCTGTATTATCTCTACCTCCTTGGCAGATCTAAAAGACAGATTTAAACTCACAAAGAGCTGTGACCTGGTGGAAAGAAGGGGTGTGTGTGTATGTATATGTATATGTATATATATAAAATCTGACAGCTCCATGGCAACATTTTGGAGCTGACACTCAGGTTGCCTCAGCAACCAAATAATTCAGCCATGCTCTGCTTCAGTCTTAATTTTTTTTTAGTGCCCAGCTTTCACAGAGTATAATTGGGAAGGGCTCTGGTATTGTGCCTCAAGGAATCCCCAGCTTCCCCCCCTACCCGCCATTCCCAGTTCAGTAGTGTGGGAGAATAGGATTGTTGGGGGGAAAGTAGCAGACAAACTGTTTTGTACATCAACAATTTGGGTTCATTGATAACAGGAAAAACATGTTTTTGTGTGCAACCTGGTAAAGTAAGATATTCATACTTCAGTTCTCATGATTCAAAGGTTACTTAATGTGTTTGATTAAATTTTGAATCTTGGCTTTGCCTTAATCAGCATGTATGCCAACAATTTTTTAAAGGCGGTCATGTTTACTTAATTAATTTATGAAACTATTTCATGAGGCTAAAAGGGAGGCTCTGAATCACTGAGAAGTTTCTTATTTCAATAGTTCATCATGTCAGAGAAAATAATTTACAAATACTGTAGGTAACAGGGTTTGCTTTAAAATAAGCAGTACCCAACTTTATCATATTCAGGCTTTTTCTAAGAAAAGACTTCTATCTAGTTATCTAATTTTAGTCCCAGAAGCACTCATGTATAATTTTATGTAGATAAAATTAATTGTTCAAAATGCACATGATCAGTTAACTGCTATGAATGCTTACTCAGAAGCCCACCTACTTTTGAGGTAAACTCGTGCTTACTTTCTACTAAGCCACAGTGTAGTTTGATTGGTTTGATTTAGAATTTTGTGTAAATCCAAGTATTGTGTTTTCAGAATCATGGGTTATAGTTTATACTTCTGCATTGTGTGATTCTCGTCCTTGTAGTTTCAAAAACATGGTTGATGGCTTTAAACCTTTGCTGACCACACTCAACTGTGCTTTATTTGACAAACCTTGGTTAAAGGAACCATGAATGATGTTTCAAATGATGAGCCAATATCTTTGGATTTCATCTCCGGATTTCTCCTTTGAAAATGACAACATTAAATAGCAGTGGTGGAAAGTCTCAATGTGAGCTGGAACAGTAAGAATTAGACAAAATTGACAATTTGCAGAACAGTGACTTTAGGCGTGTATACTGTAAATCCTGTACAGTCTTGGATTTTTACTTTGGAAAATTTACTCCATTTAAAACATGGAAGTTAAAGTTAAATTCAAGGGGAAAATGCCTCAATCTTTTTTTGGGGGGGGGGCAATTATTTTGAAACCTATAAGAGGTGGACATCTTCTTGCCTGGGTGAAAGCCAAGCCTCTCACACCCGGGAGACTTCATAGCCTTGCACAGTCAAGATGTTTTCGTACACTGCAGAATGTTCCATGATCACACTGTCATTCTTTGGAGGAGGCTGGATTCCATCCAGGAGGCATTGGTGCAGGAAGACATACTGATCCTGTGGAAATGGAGACAGGAGCAGGTGGGGGAATTGACAGCTGACATGGGCATAAACACTTGATTTGATTTGTCACACTGAAAAATCAGCAGGGGTCAGGGTTCATACTGGCTGATTCAGCACTGGGGGTGGGTCAATTTGTTGAAAAAAACGATGATGCAGAAATTGCATTGGAAAGTGTGGCTGTTTGTAGAGCTATGCACGTAGCAAGCTCAGTTGGCGATGTACTTAAATGGGAAACTCAGAGTTGAGTCAAATGTACCACAATTCCTGCCAAAGCATAAACCCATCTGCCCAGCTTGGTGGCAGTGCCTAGTTGACTTTGCCTGATTTCAAAAAGCTAAGCAAGATCAGACCTGGAAGTAGTAATTGCTCCTGGAAGATCACCAGGAAAATGGTGTAGCTTAGTCTTGGAGGTCAGAACAAAAACAATTGGAAGAAGGCAGTGGGAAATCAACAGGGAATTTCAGGGCAGTAGGCTAGTCTATGAAGGTTGAAAAATTAATACTGCAAGAAGACAGTGGCAAACTGTTTCCTTACTGTTGCCAAGAAAACTAAATAGATGTATTGATGTAATCACCAGGAATAGAGCTCAACTCCAACTTTATCTTGTCACAGCAGGTGGAAGCACCAAATGACTGGCTTAGAAGCTAAACAGGGTTGGTCCTGGTTAATATTTAGATAGGAGATGACCAGGAAGTCCCAGGACTGTGGGCTTGATGGGGGATCCAAAAACACCTCATGGAAGAAGACAATAGCTGATCACTTCTGTACTGTTGCTAAGAAAACTAAATGGATGTGTTCAGGATGTCATCAGCAGTTGAGCTCTACCTGAAGGATCATCAGTCACTGCTGCATTAGCTGCTCATTTAG